TCACCGGCTGTTGGTTATAGGGTGTTTAGGGTGTCGACCACGTCCATTAGGCCCTCGTCCACAGCCTAGAGCCGTCGCGCATGCCCGGAGCCCATCCATCACCGGGTAGGCCAGATGTGAGAGCCGTCCCCGGGTAGGCCAGATGTGGGGTGAGGAATCGTCACCGGGTAACCCAGATGTGAGAGCTGCCTTGGACGAAGTCTCGCCCATTTTAATCTACGGTTACTATATTGCTGTTGTTATTTATTCTGGCTAGGCCTAAGCTTCTTCATAGATATCTAATAAGGGGGTTCATCTTAGCGTGGCACGGCTTCTCGCCTTAGTATATCGCGTATCACTTGTTCGGCGTGTGGGGGGGGGGGTCAGATTCGCACGGGAGTTTTTTGATTTATCGGAACGCTTGTGTGCGATAGTGTAGGTAGGAGGGGGTCGCTGGGTATATGAGGAAGACGCTCGAAGGGGCTGTAAATAGATGTCTCTAGGTGTAGTCTCTAGGTGTAGTGGGAGCTGGCTACCTATTTACCTCTCGGAAGGCCTTGGGGGTTAGGGGCGTGGCATGAGCGTTCGCGTGGGCTTTACGCTCTAGTGGTAGCGTAGGCTCTATCGCCGTAGTGGGGAACGGGGGCTCGTCTCGGAGGGTTAGCAGTAGCTAGGCATTAGGGAAAAACATATAATCCAGTATGCCGCCTTTCTTAGGGGGAAGGCTTTCGTCTAGGTGGGTAATTAGGGGTTGTGCGGGGTCTTGGGGGGGCTGTCTACCAGCTAGAGGCGTTCCCTCTAGCAGGCGGGCGGCACTTGGGGCCCCGCCCCTTCCCCGTAAGGGGCAGAGCGGGATGTGGAGGGCAGAGAGAGTAAGCTCTTCACAGGGTAGGCTGGATGTGAGGCGCGTCGGGGGGTGGACTTTATGGTTCTAGGTACACAAAGGTGGCCTCTTCTTCTTCCCTAATCTTTTGTGCTTACCTTCTTCTTTCCAAGGTACGTACAGAGCGGGAAGGACTCCTCGGATGGTACAGTCTCCCCGGGTAACCCGGATGTGAGGAATCCTCCCCGGGTAGGCTGGTTGTGAGCGTCACAGGGTAGGCCGGATGTGAGAGTTCCCTTGGGCGATTTTACCTTCTTTGCCGAATTTTGAACCTGACCGATTCATGACGTAATATATCCCTCCTAGACTGATTTTTCACGAGGAATCTCGTGGTGGTGTCTGTTTTCCCGTAGCACCACTGTAGCGCCCGGAAACCGACCTTGGTTATACGCTAATTGAGTACGCCAAATCGCTTAGTCATCGATTTGGGCGACGTCATAATTCGACTAAGTTTTTTTTTCTTTTTCAGGGTATTAGTTATAGGGCGTTTAGCGTGTCGACCGGGCCCACTAGGCTATCACCCACAGCCTAGAGCCCTCGCGCATGCCCTGAACGCCTCACAGGGTAACCCAGATGTGAACATCACCGGGTAGGCCAGATGTGAGCGCTGCCTTGGGCGATTTTGCCTTTTTTGCCGAACCTGAAAGTTGACCCTAGAATGACGTTATATATGCCTCCTAGACCCATTTTGCACGGGAAATCCAGTGGTGCCCTTGAAATTGGCGTACGACCGCCGTAGCGCCCGGAACACGACCTTGGATCTAGTGTCTCTAAGCTTGCTAGCCCACCAAGCTGCTGATTTCGGCACCGTTACCCTGGGACCCGGGTCTACCTTCTTAGCGTCTTGCTTATAGGGCCCTCGGGGCTCTGGCTCGAGCCTAGAGCCCTCGCCAGCGCCCGAGGACCGCCTAAGCCCCCCCTCACAAACCCTATTTCTTTTATCGGAAAATATTTTTCAGGACCCCCCCCCCAACCTTTTTGACAACCTCCTACTACAGGGTCACTTCTCAGACCCAAATGACCCCTGAACCTGGAATCCTTTAGAGAGCACGCTGGCGACCCCTAGCCTAGCGTAGTAGGCCCGTGGCGCTAAGCGGACGTGCGCCGCCCGCACCCAAGCACCTCTGCCCCCCCCCCCCGACGCCGCCTTCGCCTGAGGGCTTCCCCCCCCCCCCCCGAGCCCCCCGAGCCACCCCCCTAAGCCTAAGCCAGACGCCCCGGCGATCGCGTACAGCGCTGGCGGGATAACGGGGATCTTTGAAGCAAGAGGGGGGGGTCTTTTATTTTTGCCACCCAAAACATTTGTCGGAAAATATCTCCCGACGTCTGACGTCTTGTTCACGATTTTCGTGCTAGTAACGCCCCGCTGGGTATATGAAAGGAGTGGGTGGAAGGCAGTCTAGACATACAAGGAACGGTCAAAGCCAGGGAGCAATCCTGATAAGCCTTTCGTCCCGGAATAACGTGTCTGGCACCGCCGGAAGCCCGAACACGCTGCGCAGCCCTGGGGATGTCTATTTGGTTAGCTTCTCTAGGGCAACGTGCGCTGGCTTCTCTCTGTGTCCCGTGGCCGCCCGATCACCGACCGAGCCTGATGTTCGCTGCCACCGAGCGCGCCGTCAGGATAGGTGGTGGTTACGCCCGGAAGCCTTTTGCTAGGTGGAAGGGCGCCGACGAGCCCGCAGCGTGCTGTGGGCCAACGTTGGAGTCTGTGGATTGTTGGCCGATGGCTAAACCTTCCAAAAGACAGTCGGGGGTAAGCCTAAGCCGGTAGCCGCTCTCGAGCGTGACCGGTGGACGGTATCCTCCTCCTGCGGATCGTATGTTGCACCCGGCGGGGTCCCGTGAGGGCCCCTGCCGGTGTGGAGCGGACCGACCCGTGGGGAACTCAGTGGAGGCAATTGGATGGCGGGGGTGGTCCTGTGTAGCCTCGCTCCAGGACTGGCCCCCGTCAGGTGTTCGCACCTCTTTCAGCGTACAACTCGACCGCCGCCCTCGGGCGGTGGGCCCGGCGGCCCTCTGGGGTCGCCGGATACGATAGTTACCTGGTTGATTCTGCCAGTAGTCATATGCTTGTCTCAAAGATTAAGCCATGCATGTCTAAGTATAAGCAATCTATACGGTGAAACTGCGAATGGCTCATTAAATCAGTTATCGTTTATTTGATAGTACCTTACTACTTGGATAACCGTGGTAATTCTAGAGCTAATACATGCTAAAAACCTCGACTTCGGAAGGGGTGTATTTATTAGATAAAAAACCAATGCCCTTCGGGGCTCCTTGGTGATTCATAATAACTTAACGAATCGCATGGCCTTGTGCCGGCGATGGTTCATTCAAATTTCTGCCCTATCAACTTTCGATGGTAGGATAGTGGCCTACCATGGTTTCAACGGGTGACGGGGAATTAGGGTTCTATTCCGGAGAGGGAGCCTGAGAAACGGCTACCACATCCAAGGAAGGCAGCAGGCGCGCAAATTACCCAATCCCGACACGGGGAGGTAGTGACAATAAATACTGATACAGGGCTCTTTTGGGTCTTGTAATTGGAATGAGTACAATTTAAATCCCTTAACGAGGAACAATTGGAGGGCAAGTCTGGTGCCAGCAGCCGCGGTAATTCCAGCTCCAATAGCGTATATTAAAGTTGTTGCAGTTAAAAAGCTCGTAGTTGAACCTTGGGCCTGGTTGGCCGGTCCGCCTCACCGCGTGCACTGGTCCGACCGGGTCTTTCCTTCTGGGGAGCCGCATGCCCTTCACTGGGTGTGTCGGGGAACCAGG